TGGTGTGATTGGTGATTTAGATGGTGTAGTAGTGGTTGAATTTGTTGTTGTTAGTGTTGGTAATATTTTGTTCATTGTTTGATAAGTCGATGTAGATGTGGATGTAGGTGTAGATGGATTATACTTGTCATTTAATTGTTGTAAAGATTTAGTGACTTGATGAATATTTGGTCGATTGTTTGGGTTTTTGTTCCAACAAGCTATTTATAACAATAACAATAACAATAAAGATGATGACAATTGACATTATACAAGAATTCACTCAAAAAAACAAAAGAAAAAAATACATACAGTTGCAAACATTTCTAAAATCTTGATATTCACTTGGAACATTGCTCATTGCATTATCTCTTTGTTCTAACGAAAGATTTTTCAAATATTTATCCCAATCTCCATTATAATTTTCAAGAGCTTGAGTGAGTTGGAACAAAACAGACCCCAAAGAGCAAACATCATATTCTTTTGGACGCATGATCGATTCACTATCATCATTATCTTTCTTCATGATTTTTTGCAAGAAAGAACGTTTTTTGGTCAACGTTCTAAAGTTGAATATTCCGAAATTGATTAATTTAATAGTATCACGATAATATAAGATACTATCCGAACTCTATATACATGTTGAAAAAAGAGAGAGCGTGTTATTTATTTAATTCAGAAAAAAAAATAATAATAATAATAATAAACATTTGTTTTAATTTATTACCAAATTTTTATGAAAAATGTTATGTTCGTGTAAGAATAATAATGCGTTTGAAATATCTAATGCGATTTTAATTTTTTTATTCCAATCCAAAGTTTTAAAATTATTTTGCAAGTATTGAGTAAGGGTCACACAATTAATATATTCCAATACGAGATAATATTCATCTTTACTTGCATCTATTATTGTTATCATTATACGTGTAATATTTTGTAAGTTTTAGCAAAGATACAACGTAATTAATTAATTAATTAATTAATTAATACCTTTATAAACACCGTGTAATTTTAATGTGGATTTATCGGAACCTGCCTCCCACATTAATTTAATCTGACGAAAACCATATATATTTTAAAAATGCGGTGCAAAAAACCATAAAAAAAACCCCCCCAGATTATTTTTTCCCTTATTTACCTCATCAACTTCGAAACGAATATTGGCAACATTGATTGGTTTTAACACGACGGTAGAATTATTTTTCTTTAATGTGGCAATTTCAACGTTTCCGTATATTTTGGAATTGTTAAAACTGAAATTTTCAAGATCTTTATCGGAAAATTTTTGAATTTTGAATCCATCAAATTTTGATTCAAGAAATTCACTTATACTTTGTTCAATAACTTTTCCCATTTGTACAAGTTTGTAGATTAGGCTTGAGAGAGAATGTGATTTGTGTCGTTTGTATGGAAAAGAAAAAGTAAAAGTAATAATAATAAAGAAAAAATAATTCGTTTTAAAAAAAAAATTCAAAAGGAAATTAATTCAACTCGAAAAAAAAAATATTGATCAAATAATTAAAAAAAATGAAAATACGAAATTGTTTATTATATATTTATATTTATACGGCCAAGAATCAAAGCTAATGATTAGTTATTAATTAATCACTAAATATAAATAATAATATACGACAACGAGAAATTTCGAAAGTAAACAAAAACAAATAATTTCTTTTTTTATATTACACACGAAACATGAAACTAAATCTAATTTTGGGTTGATTTTCTTCTTGTAATATTAATAAAAATAAATATAAAATGAACTTTCCAGAAATGCGTGGCATTTTCGTTAGTATTAATATGTTTCGTTCGTTGCATTTCTAGTTTAGAAGATTCAACTCCCATCACTATAATATCCCACGTCTTACTAACAACAAATTATTATTATAGTAATTTATTTTTTTAAATAAGACTATATATACACTCCTTGGAAGAAAGTACCGGACGTAGCTGTCGATTATTCCGTAAAATTTGCACAATAACAACAAAACAAGCGCATCATTCTGCAGCCTAGGTTCTTACTTTTCATGCATCCAAAATTTAATGTTTCCAGCAATTTTTCATTTAAATTAAATTGCAAATTAAAATCGTGAAATGTTGCACAAAATTTATTCGATTTTTCAATACCAAGTTTTCAAGAACCAGCTTATGTATAAATTATCACAATTCCGGCACGTTTAAAGGCAATTAATTAAAATGTTATTGTTAAAATTGAAGAAATTGAAGAAATTGAAGTTCAATTTTGATAGAAACAGCAAGCAAATATTTTGGGCTTTCTCGAACGCCAAATCGTGCAGAACTTGAAGGCATTTGGAAAAAAAAGGAAGCAGTTTCTCAAAAATACAACGAATTCGGAATTTTCTTTTGAAAGAAGAAAACCAATACCATCTATCCACGCATTAGTATATAATATCATTATAGTTTGAATGTGATATACATACATGCATTTGCATATAATAAGCATAAATTCTGTATATATATATATACACAAGAGGTTATATTTTATCCAATTTCCCCATGTCATCAGATGAAACGAATCATTATTATACATATGTTGCTCACAACTGCACAGAATTCACATTAACATGTAAAGAATATTCGCGGTATTCACCTATAATTCTCACAACACCAAGACAATAAAAATTCTGGTCACATGAGAATGCATGCATAAAAATTAGATTATTATTGTTTTGGTTTTAAAAGATGTTTGTACATATGATGGAAAATTTTTCATTCATTTTTATACAATTTTGGGTTAACATAGTAAATTTGTGCATGGCAACGTGACAAATCAAATAAATGAAATTATTTTTTTTGGAAATATATAAAGAAGGGATAATAATGATAAATCAAACAAGGTAAACAACTTGCAAAGTAAAGAATTTAAAAATATGTGGACACTGAAAAAACGATAAAAACAATTATTATTATACGTACTAGTATTACACGGGATCACGTATAATTCGCATACAGTGAAAGTCACTTTGTCTCTGAACTTTTTATTAGACATGTAGATAGATCCTTTAATTCCTCCAAAATGGGAGCGGACATTGCTTTCATCTGATCGTGATAACCCTATTAATATAACGGAAATTCTCTAATACTAAATTCACCATGATTATCATCGGTTAAATCTCCCCGGGACGAGGTAATATCCTATCTTGTACAACTTCCCCTTCTTCTTTTTATATATATATTATTATTTTTAACGATGCAGTACTGTTACACTGTTTATTAGAAAAATTTATATATTATTATTGTTATTATACAA